CTAGCGAATCACAAACTGGTGCTGGACGGCTGGAGCCTGGTGGCGTTCAACGAGAGTCACAAAAGTGTCACTGACGTTTAAATGTCTGAGAAGAATTAATAATAATTCATTGTGACACACACTGACACACCTTGAGGACGGGAACAGAGGGCTCTGTGGGGACGGAGCACCTGCTGCAGCAAGCCAACACGCCACCTGCAGTCATTTTGACTTGACCAGCTGACTTCACTACAAGCTGATTGGCTGTTGAAACAGGTGACGTGCTTTAAAACCAGCCGCCGGCCATTTGACCAGCTGAGTGTCAGGTGACACCATCAGCCGGCTTGAGTCGAGCTCAGACCGGCCAGTTCACACCGCTGACACTTTTCTCTGAGACGTTCTGAAATGGTTTCATCTCTTCTTTATGTGTCACTGTTACTGTGTATTAACTCTCTATATTCATACTTATATAATGTCCTTTCCATACTGTGCAATGTCGCAGTGTGATTTCCTACATGTGTTATATTTTACTACACACTGTGCAATAAATTATATTTATATATTGTTTCAGTAAAGAACTTCACACCGTGTGTGTGTTATGATTATTCTGTTTCACTGTCCCCATGGACACACAGTCACAATCTGACAGGTGGGTGCAGACTTTAAGTCATTATTTTATTTAATCTTATTTGTCTTAGTGTGTCTCATTTTATTTATCACTTCATCACTTTATTATTGTGCTTCTCCTTGAGCTGCTGTAAATGTTCCTGCAGTGGGAAAAATAAAGTCTCATCTTATGTTTCTTACTGAAGCCTCGATGCCTCTCTGCACAGCCACAGAGATGGTATTAAACTGCATCAGTGATGTCTGTAAATCAGTTAAACAAACAGCCATAGATATACATCTGTGTCTCTGCGGGACGTCCTCTTCTTCTCTGCTCTGTTTCCCTCGCGTCTTCCTGTCTCCATACACACTGCTGTCCAATGAGGCATGCAGAATACAGAGACCTGAAGAGCTCCCTGCTGCTGCTGCTGCTGCTGCTGCTGCTGCTGCATCAAACTCTGCTTCACAGCGACACATTTATCTGGTAGATTATCAAACTTCCGGACTAATGTGCTTTAAACTGCAGGATTCTTAACGTCCATCATTTAACTGAAGCTTTTATACAAAGCACTTAACGTCTCCATCAGACTGTGACACATCACACCTACACACAGAGGGAAACTTATCATATAGTGTCGGCTGCAGGGGAGTTACACACTGTACTTTACCAGCCAGCATGTATTTTACATTAATGTGCCTCTGAGTTTAATAAGAAACTTTTCACAGGCTGCTCTGCTCTGTGTTTTACACACGTTATGAGGGACAGCAGAGACGTCCACTACAAACTTAGGCTTCCTTAAAAAAAAAAGACTGTCATGTCTCCTTGTGACGCTTCATCACAGCTGGTTTCTCAAACTGTTTCATCCAACGTATTTCAGAGGCCAAAGTGTCCAGTGTTTCATTGAAGAAACAATTACCAGTCTGATTTGAAAACACCACAGATCGATGTACAGTGTGTTAAAACTCGACACACAGTGTGAACATGAGTAAAGTTGGTCTGAAGCTTCTGATCATGTGATCATGTCTCTGAGCAGGACGACTCGTCTGTGTAAATCTGATCTGATCCTCACAAACATTTAAAGACCTGTTTCCTGTAAATAAAGACAAACACATGTCAATATTAATCTGTAGTGACCTGGAGTGACTCATAAAGGATGAGTGAGCTGCAGATACACACCTCTGCTGCTGATGTGACACCTCAGCCTACACACACACACACACACACACACTGGGAGTGTGGACGTGAGCTCCGTCCTCCTCATTACCGACAGACTGAACATTGATTTCAGACGCCTGCTGTGAACTCAATCACTCCTTCAGTTCCCTGTTTTTCTGGCGGAGCAGTGAAGGCCTCATTTAACCTCTTTCTTTCTTTCTTTCTCTAACAGCAGCTAGAACAATACGAACCTGCGCTCCTTTCAGAACGACGCGTTGGTGTCACGTTCACAATCCATCCAGGATTTAATCTGTACCATTGTTGACGTTCTGCCACACACGTGGTCAGGGCTGAACTCACGCTCAACACAGCTGCTGGTTTTATATATTTCATATTTCATAAATCACCCTGAGGAGACTGACGGGATTTAACCCTTCACTGTCTGCTTTTATAAGAAACATTAATGAATCCATTCATTCCTGGACCAAGAACAAAGTGTTCTTCTCCTCAGTCACATCCTCCAGATCTCTCTGAGCGTTCCCAGGGCAGGTGGGTGAGTAAAGGGTCAGACATACTTTCTGTGCTCAGCATCAGCAGACAGCTGCAGACTTGTATCAGTCACATGGACGTGCACATATTTATACTACAAACAAAGTTAGCATGGGTTCAACATTTCCTCCCTTCAGCCCTCTCTGAACTATTTTGTTGACTATATTTGTTTTGATCTCATTTGTGCAACTACTAGGTCATACATGGCCCCTCCCACATTAAGATGTCTTCACTTTAAAACAAAAACAATCTGTGAACACACAAGCGCTTTAGCACCGCATCAGAAATAATATCCGTCCGTAGAGCAGAGGGTGAAACTGTTACTGAGAGTAAAACATGAGCATCAGGAGGTCAGTGTGGCAGAAACATCAGAGCAGAACCAGGAACGTCATCATCACAGGAGGACGTGATGATGGTGATGAAAATGTGTCCCACACAGGAAGAACAGACTTACTAAAGGTGTGTAGATTAGCTCCACCCTCTGGACCTCAGACCCTCAGGAAGCAGAAACTGGTGTCGCTGTTATCATTTCCACAACCTCAGAGAGACAGTCAGCAGCGTGTTCAGAGGTCTCTGCTTTAGAGGCTCCAACAAGCCGCAGCAGTGTGGACATAAAGACACGTACAAATAGTTCTGCATTTATAAACATTGAGCAGATTTCCTCTGAAACACACAGAGCTTGACTCTGATGAGAGCTCTCAGCACGGCAGCTTTAATGTGAACAGAATGATGCTTCAACAGGAGGAAGTCTGCCCCCTGCTGACCTCATCATGCCTCAGCTCCTCCTCTCTCAATCACACAGACAACAGCAGCCGTCCTGCTGAATGGGATCATAACTGCTGCTTTATACGGCCTCACAGAGCAGTTAGTGATCACTGCACACTGCTGCCTCCAGCTGGACGACGGACAGACGGACAGACGGACAGACGGAGGAATGTGTGAGTGTGTGTTAACAGGACACGTGGCTGTCAGGTTACTGGGTCTCACGTGAGACCTACTGAACACACACTCCTCCACAAACACTCACACACACTCTTCAGGTTTCAGCTCTGCCTGAAGTCCTGTCCACACTAAACCTGCTCACTGTTCTTCTTCTGCTCCCAGCAGTCAATCACCCCCCCGCTCCATGAGACACAGATAGAGCTGTTTAAAGAAGACACAGATCTCAGATAAGGTTTGCGCTGCACATTTGGAGCTGCTTCCATCCATCTGCTGGATCCTTTAAAGGTCCAGCTGATTGTCACTGCTCCAGTTTTTTTTTTGGTCTGAATGAAACTAATAAAAAATGCATTAAAGAAGAAACTAGTGGAAAAGCTTTAAAACTGCCAGGAAGGAAGCAGCAAACAGACGGCAGGCTCTTGTTCCTGCAGCGAAGGCGGCGTGCTGAACTTTACTGTACGATGAGCCTGCGTCAGAATCTACAATGAAAGAAGATGGAAATCAGATCGCTGGTTTGAAGTCAGAGAGCGAAGGATGTTTCCTGTCACACACAGAAACCTGTGTTTACACACAGTGAATAAACTCAGGATGACTTCACTTTAACAACAGCAGCACGCTCTCTGTCCCTCTGTCTGTCTGTTACTGAGGCTTCATGGGAGAGTTCAAGGTCATCTACCAAACCAGAGGACTCCAGCAGCAGCCTGGACACACCTCCACCTCTGAGATGGTGTGTATTTAAATCAGGTTCATCTCAGCAGTTTAACACACACACACACACACACACACACTGCTGACACACTCTTCATTAAATAGCTGAAACAAAAAACAGGATCAAACAAATTAGACAAATTTCTCAAATGTCAGTGAGGATGAGACCTCCATCATGTCTCTATTTCATTTGGGTTTTACCCTCAAAATTACAAACATCTTTACTTTTAATTAATCCTCACAGTTTGCATGTTGATCGGCCCAACAACTGAAGAGTTTAAAGGTTTTCAGAGCCCCGGAAGAGAAAAAATATCCATAAGTCAACCAGAAAAATGCAGAAACTTGAACAGTGCGTCAGCAGAGTGCAGATTTCTGCCAAACAACCGTGTCCCAGCTTCCTCAGCTGATCGCTGCTACTTCCAACAGACACATTGCAGTTTAGTAAAACAGGCACAAATCTTTGATCATGTTGTTCAGAACTGGACTTCTTACGGTGTTAACTTTGTGTGTAACCTGCAGCTCTACAGAGCGAGAAATCACCACAGTAAACAGGGTTAAAACACACTAGGTATGGATGTAACTACATCTGAGCCTCAGCACAAAACAAAAAGACACAGCTGCACTCTGCACTGACACAGACGTGTTTCCTGTGAACACTGTAGAACATGAGAGATTCAGGAAACTCGTGTTCAGCTGTTCAACATGTTCTGACAATAAAGGAGTTTAAACCCAAATTAACCAGATGGTCTTTAACTTTAACTCTGGAGCAAAATCTTCCTTTAAACTTTACAGAAATAATGATCTGACTTTTATCCTGATAATTATATTGCTGATTTTCTCCTTCGTGTTGGAGCTGAAGCATCGTCTCTATCATCGCCCAGACTTCAGTTCATCATCAGGACACAGCTCTGAGCTGTTCAAACAAAGTAATGAGCTCCTTTATACTTGAAAGATTAAAATGTCAAACACACACGTGATATTTCAGCTCAGTAATCTGCTCATCTTTCACTGTGCTGAATAAAAGCCAGTGGAACGATAGTTATCTCATCGACTGGTTGTTACTCACATGTGAAGATGACGAGGAAGGAGCGCAGCAGCAGGTCAACGACCTTCTCCCACCGCTCTGACACACGAGCCACAAAGGGCGGTATGAGGATCTCTGCTGGAACGTAGAACTGCAGGGCGAAGGTGATGAAGATACCAAAACAGTAGAGCAGCTTCACCGCCTGGTACGTCCTGCGCACGCACACACACACACACACACACACACACACACACACACACACACAGAGACGCTCAACAAAGGGGACTGAAACAGACTCAATGAGAAGTGATGCTCAGCAGAGTTACAGAGACACTTTTATGATATTTAAATGTGCTCAGACACAGCTCATCAGAATCCTTTCAGATCACACAAAACCAGCATCGACACACGGCCTCAGTGTTCATGTTACAGATCCATAGGAGAACAGAGGAAGAGGAGGAGGAGGAAGATCTTTAAAAACAAACAGCAAACAGTCCTCTGATCACTTTAAACTCAGATGCTGCTAATTACAGCCTCTGTTACAGTAATCAGCAGCACTGGTCCAGTCACAGGAGGATCTTCATACATGTACGTCTCTGACTCTGAACTGAAGGAATGAACTGAGTCCACATCATCGAGCTGAGCTCTGTCTCTACAGAGATGAAGATAATGGTGTTAATGAAGACACACACCACAGGTCGTACAGAGGAGTTTGTTTGTTCTGTGAAAGTGAAGATTATTTTTCTGAGCTGCTTCCTTTGTACTGTGGAGATTTAAGAACATCCTGTCTGTTTTTTTCCCACGCTCATGCGCTGGTTTGGTTGGTTTGGTTTGATTTGCCTCGGCCCGTCAGCCCAGCACAGTGGGAATTTGTGTCTCTGCGGCACACCGTGAGGACGGAAACAGAGGGCTCTGTGGGGACGGAGCACCTGCTGCAGCAAGCCAACACGCCGTCTGCGGTCATTTTGACTTGACCAGCCGACTTCACTACAAGCTGATTGGCTGTAGAAACAGGTGACGTGCTTTAAAACCAGCCACCGGCCATTTGACCAGCTGAGTGTCAGGTGACACCATCAGCCGGCTTGAGTCCAGCTCACACCGCTGACACTTTTCTATGACACGTTCTAAAAATGGTTTCATCTAACCGTACATCTCTGAACTGGACTTTAAATGTAAAAATGAAATAAATTCTGGGGTTTTTTTTTGGTCAGTGCAGGAAGAACACAGGAACACACCTGATGGGACGCTGTGAGTTCTCTGAAGATACAAAACCACATCATGTTTGTTTGGTAAAGCTGTTGCTCTAAAGGTGTGTGTACAAACACTGCTCATGTTTTCACCTCTGCGTCACAAAAACCCAGAAAACCTCTGTCTGTATGTTCTGAGCTCTGCAGGGATGTTTGAACAGACATCATATAATGTGGTAGAATAAATATTAGACTGAGGCTGCTGTCAGCCCTAGAGTGGTCTCCTCTGGTCTGAATCAGGGACTCATATTGTTCCAAAGTTGTATAATTGCCTAGAGTTGGTTCGTGTTCTCACGGCAGCATTTACAAGAGGACCAGATCAAATGCCTTGTGTGAGAAAGCTGCTCTTGATTGGTCAGAATTTCCATGTGGGAAAAATCCAGGAAGTAAAGCAAACGTTGAAGAAGAGTACACTTGCAAGATAAATGTGACACTTTCTAATGTCACAATGGAGGGACAACTACGCAGGTTGATATTAGCGCTGCTCATCGTGGACTATATTGCTGTCATTGTTCATTTTAGTCAAAGCATACAGTTTGAAAACGAGGCGCGGCTCCAACTAGAAAACAATGTTTTGATGCATTGGATGTGCTGAATGTGCATATTAAGGCAGTACAGGAGAAAGTGCACATTAATAATCCTCCAGGACTGTAACATGCTCATGTTTAACCCAAACAATGTGTCATGTGACTGCAGTTGCTTCACATCCAGGTCGAACACCTTCTCACCACAAACCAACCGCACCAGAGTTCCTTTGGAGCCGGACCGAGACCACCTCTTCAAGAAGGTCTCAGTCCAGTTGTTTTGGTGTGTTCACACCTGCACAAATGAACAAACCAACCTGAGTCAGACTGAACCAAACAGAACAGGTGTCAACGCAGCCTCAGTGTTAATAACAGCGCGTCTCAGTTCATGAGGTGTGTTACATTTACGCTTGTGAACAGCTGGAACTGATGTTTTTCTACATTTACCAGACAGTGAAGCAGATTAAATTAGAACTGAGGAGTCAGTGTGGACAGTGATGACGTCCTCGGCTGGACAAAGAGAGAAAACATTTCATCTCTTAACCTCACTAAGAACTCCACTGACATACTGAGCTGCTGGGGTCTTTCAAATTCACCATTCTTCTTCTTCTTCTTCTTCTCTGTGTTATATTCTTGTTATAAACACAACATGACCTCAGGTCTGATGTGGGATCATTTTCACAGGAGCTCAATATGCAACATGTGAGCTCAGCACAGACACAGTGAAGGATTAATAACTGACACAGGCGCCCTCTTTGACAGTACACCTGCTGGTGATGAATCACACTGTGCTCTGATTGGTCTGAACTTCACATGTGTTCTTTAACACAGGAAGTGTTGGTGTTAATTTACCAGCAGTTGGGCAGGTTGAGAGTAATGCTCCCTCCTATGTGCTCTTTGAAGCACATGTATCCGATGGTTCCCAGGCTGATGTACAGGAAGGTGATGATGCCCATCCCCACGTACAGGACGGGGATGAAGGTCTGAGGCCTCTGCATCTTGTTCTCCAGAGGAAGAACCTGCATCACACACACAGAGACACACACTCAGACAGTTAACACCTGAATCAGGGCGTGACTGATGTGTTCTTACATGTGAACAACATCAGAGGTAAAACACAAAGTGTCTTCATGTTCCTGTGTGTTTCCAGTTTAAATGTCACTTCCTCTCAGGTTGCGCTGTCTGGATTCAAACTCACAGATGTTATAATGAAGGCTAAATTTGTGTTGACATTTTGTTAAAAGGCTGAAGCTCTCTGGTTCCACACTCCACACACTGAGAGAGGTCACGTTCTCTCAGCTCTCTGGAGGCTGCTCACTGAATACCAATGAAGAAGAGAAGTACCTCTAAACGGCATGTTAAACAACACAAGAGCAACAAACAATACTCATGTGTCAGAGTACTATGTCCCCGTCATCTGTCCCCGTCACTGTCCTCATCACTGTCCTCATCACTGTCCTCATCACTATCATCATCACTATCATCATCACTGTCCTCATTACCGTCATCATCACTATCATCATCATCACTATCATCATCACTGTCATCATCACTGTCCTCGTCACTGTCCTCATCACTGTCCTCGTCACTGTCCGATCGGACGCGCGTCGTAC